AGGATGATCCAAACCCAGGAGCCTGGAGCTTCTTCCAGGTCTCCTACATGGGTGCAGGGGCCCAAGGACTTGGGCCATCTTTCGCTGCTTTCTCAGGTACATTAGCAGCAAGCTGGATTTGAAGTGGAGCAGCTAGGACTCGAACCATCACCCACATGGGATGTTGGCATTGCAGGCAGTGGCTTTAACTGCTACGCCACAGTGCCAGCCCCTAAACCTCTTCTTGTCCAGATTTTTTGGGAGCCAGTAGTACTTCCTTGGACAATTACCCGATGTTACACCTTTAGGTCATGAGGCTGCTCGCCAGACTGTACAATTAGAATGAAACTTCTTATTTTATCAGCAAAAATCTGTCATATGTGACTACCTTATCTTTCAATCAGATACTAAAATGTTTAAGAACAGAAGCTGTTCTGTATATTTATGGGTCCTTGTTAGCAGCTGGTATGTTGATTTGCTATCTAGGTATACAAATTTGCTAACTGACTTTAGTAGGTTTTGAGGAAAATGGAAACATATACAATTTAAGGAAGTTTTACTGTTGATTTATTTATTTTTTAAAAAGAATTATTTAATCAGGGGCTGGTGCTGTGGCAGAGCGGGTGGAGCCTCCGCCTGCAGCGTCAGCATCCCATATGGGTGACAGTTCTAGTCCTGGCTGCTCCTCTTACAATCCAGCTCTCTGCTATGGTCTGGGAAAGCAGTGGAAGATGGCCCAAGTCCTTGGGCCCCTGCACCCACATGGGAGACCCGGAAGAAGCTCCTGGCTCCTGGCTTCAGATCAGCTCAGCTCCGGCTGTAGCAGTCATGTGGGGAGTGAACTAGCAGATGGAAGACCTCTCTCTCTCTCTCTCTGCCTATCCTTCTCTCTCTCTGTAACTATAACTTTCAAATAAATAAATAAATAAATAAATAAATAAATAAATCTTTTAAAAAAAAGAAGGCCATCTAGCCGGCGCCACAGCTCACTAGGCTAATCCTCGGCCTTGCAGCGCAGGCACACTGGGTTCCAGTCCCGGTCGGGGCGCCAGATTCTGTCCCAGTTACCCCTCTTCCAGTCCAGCTCTCTGCTGTGGCCAGGGAGTGCAGTGGAGGATGGCCCAAGTCCTTGGGCCCTGCACCCCATGCCCTGCCCTTGGGCCCTGCACCAGGATAAGTACCTGGCTCCTGCCATTGGATCAGCGCGGTGCGCCAGCCGCAGCGCACCAGCTGCAGCGACCATTGGAGGGTGAACCAACGACAAAGGAAGACCTTTCTCTCTCTCTCTCTCACTGTCCAAATAAATAAATAAATTAATTAATTAAAAAAAAGAAGGCAATCACCAAGAATTAAGAATGCCAAGCCTGTGGCCAGCATTGTGGCTCACTTGGTTGGTCCTCTGCCTGCAGCGCCAGCATCCCATATGGGTGCTGGGTTCTAGTTCGGGTTGCTCCTCTTCCAGTCCAGCTCTCTGCTGTGGCCTGGGATAGCAGTGGAGGATGGCCCAAGTGCTTGGGCCCCTGCACCCACATGGGAGACCAGGAAGAGACTCCTGGCTCCTGGCTTTGGATCGGCATAGCTCCAGCTGTTGTGGCCATTTGGAGAGTGAACCAACGGAAGGAAGACCTTTCTCTCTGTCTCTCTCTCTCTGTCTGTAAACTCTACCTGTCAAATAAATTAAAAAAAAAAAAAAAAAAAAAAAAAGAGAGAGAGAGAGAGAGAGAGAATACCAAGCCTGGTACTGCAACTGCTAAGTCATATCAACACTTAGCAACCTGGTCAGGCACACTTTGGCCCTCTTTTGTGACAGATTATTTCCTTAGGAATTACAAAAGTTACCATAAATTTAAAGTTTTAGTATATTTACTGATTAAAACTGAGAGTAATAATAACTTGCTTGCAGGTTATTATTTCTCTCTTTAAAAAAAAAAAGATTTATTTTATTTTGAAAGGGTAGAGGCTGGGGCGGGTTTGGGGGAGGAGGGAAGACAGAGAAGCGAGCTTCCCATTTTGCTTGGTTTCACCTCCCCAGAATGGCTGGCAACAGCCAGGAGCTGGGGCCATTTCTGAAAGCAGGGACCCTTTCTTTCTGGGGTCTCCCACACAGGTGCAGGGGCACAAGGACTTGTTCCATCTTCCACTGCTTTCCCAGGCACATTAGCAGGGGGCTGGATTGGAAGTAGAGCAGCTAGGATGTGAACCAGTGCCCATTTGGGATGCTGGTGCTGCAGGTGGCAGCTTAACCTCCTACAACACAGCGCCAGTCCCAGCCTGCATTTTCTTTGCATATGTGTATGCAGGAATGTCCAAGAAATTAGGAGAGTTCCTACACTTGAGTATTTTCAAAATGTAATGGGGTCATCTTAAGTACTGGTTGGGCGGTAGATGTATTTAGTATGTAAAATACGTTAAAGACCACATCATGTACTGTATTTTTCAGAATATAGACAAGATCCCTAGTTCCTTCCTTTCTTCTTTCTTTTTTAAACATTCAAAGGTACTACAAGAAGTTTGTGGACAATGGAACTAAAAGGTAAGTTTACTTTGGTATAAAAAATGAAATTCAGTCATAGGATTTTCATAATACATATTTTCCATGGACTTTTTTAAAGACTTTATATTAGTAGCTATGACACAGGAAATTAGAACACCAATAACTGATTAGACATTATGGAAGTTGATGAATGGAAACTTCAATTACAGGAGTTCCTAAAGAATTAGCTCACCAGCATCAGATAAGAATACTTAGGAAGATGATCAAGAAGAACTGAAAACAGAGACAGGAGTTGGCAGGTGTGGGTCTTATAAACAGAATAAAGGAGGAGCATCCAGGGAAGTGGTCAGTCTGCATATTTACATCTTTTATAAACAGAATATCAGAGATCAAAATACACTAAATCATACCCAATCTATAGCCCTAAGATGGAGCTTTCATTTGTGTCTAAACAATGTTCATAAATACAATTAGAAGGTGAGATGTGAGGCTTTCTAAGTTAAGTGTTGGTAAAACATTCTTAAATCCTTAGGTAGAAAGCACAGAACTGAAGAGCATTTAAAGTTTTACAGTGAAGAGCTTAACTCTTAGAATTAATGAAATACAGTAACTGCACATAGGGGAGTCTGAAGTACATAAACATCACTCTCTTGAATAATCTTTAGTAGGGCAAGTTACTACCTTACAGAGCACTTAAAAGCAGCATCAGTCTTCATTTATTATCCTCCTCTGACTGCCCTAGGGTATACAGCACTCATCCGGTGAGGGAGCGCTAATGTTTGCTCCACGCTGTTACAATGATTACAATAGGTCTGACTCTGAAAGTGTGCCACTGGGTTTAAATGTAAGAAAAGGATTTTAAGGGTTAATTAACAGAGCGCTAAAGTATCATTTTTAAAATTACAACAAAAATATATGTAAGCTAAAATTTTTTAGAATGAATTTAGGTGAAAAAAGCAGTAACTATCATTCACATGTTTTATAATTATAAATATATATAATTATTTTATAGTATATTCTTACAACATAAGGATACCTAGTAACTACCCTTGTATATCTGTTAGGGGTATTTTAAAGAAGGCCAAACAACGATATCTAAAAAAATTAATACATTTTTCCTCAATAGAGAAATTTCATGTAAGTTCATAGATAAATAAGATTTAAAAGGTTTAAACTCTCTAACATGTATAAAGGCACACAATGTTTTAAAGAAAACTAAAATGTATTATTACATTTCTAAGATGTAGACTACTGCTTTAATATTCACAGTTAATGTTTAGTGATGTAAAGATCAATTACTATATTGAAAACTTTTCTTTCCTAGAGATATAAACTGTATCAGTCATTAAAGGATAAATAGTTGTTATGGTGACCAATCTGATATATTTATGTTAACAGGTGATCTCCTAAAAATT